AAAAAAAAAAAAAAAAAAAAAAAAAAAAAAAAAAAAAAAAAAAAAAAACAACAAATATCAAGGAGAGGAAATCTCACATGACACCTAGAGCCAGTCTGGGGTAAGAAATGGGGGATGAGGACTGGAAGAAGAAACCATAGGACAAAGCCATAGGGTCTCATATCCAATCTCCCCTGCCCAGGAAGAGTTCACAAGCGGGCCACTAAGTGGTAGGAGTGTCATTCATGGAAGACAGGGGTCTCTTCGAAGAGCTGAAGTCAGGTATGTCGGCAGATATCTGTAATCCCAGATACTTTGAAGGAGGAGGCAGGAGGACCCCAAGTTCAAGGCTAGACTGGGGAACTTAGCAAGAGACCCAATCTTAAAAAATAAAAAGGATGGGGATGTGCCTCAGTGGTAGAGCACTTGCCTAACATGCATGAGGCTCTGAGTTCACTCCCTTGAGGCACAAAAAAAAAGAAAAAAAATTTAAAAAGAGCTGAGCAGGTATGTGCTTCTCCCTTGTCTGAAGTATGTTTCTATCCATGACTGTCAAGTCTCAGTGGTACAGGCTGATGTGGAACCTCACCCCACTTGACCCGCTTCATGGGGGTAATTGGAGCTACTTTCTTTTATCCAAAATGCCAGTGGCATCTACAACTAGACCTGGTCCCAACCTCCATCCCCCCAAGCTGAAAACAGCCAGGGAACTCCATGAACTACCTAAAAACATGGATCATCTTCCAAGGGAGTCCTGAATCCCCTGAAAATAGAAGGGGGGAATTCTGTGGCCAAGAAGACAACGCCCAAGGATGAACCTGAGACCAAACAAGCTAGGATCAGACCAAATGGGCTTCTCTTTCCATCTTGCAGAAAGATCCTCAGGACGACCTTCTGGCATTCAGGAGGAAGGAGGGGCTTATGACTACTCCACCTCAGGACACCTGCAAAGGGACACTCCCAGGTTGGAAGTCACTGACCTTCTCTAGTTTCTCGAAGTGCTCCCGGAGGAACTTCATGGGGCGGTCAGGCTTGGAGATGCAGAGGTGCACGATGCAATCTTTGAGCACCTGCTGGATGCTGTGTTTCTGAACATACAGCTCACACCCCTTCAGACTGTCCTCCTCCTCCAAGTGGAAAGAGGATGGAGAGGCCATGGTCAGAGCGTCTTGTTCTTCCCGCTGAGGAAAATAAAAAAACCACATGAACCTTAGAGGAGCTGGAGGAGACCCGGGCTGCACTGCTGTGCTTCACAAACATGCACACAGTATATAAGATTTTATTGTTGGCGGGCAAATCCAATAAACAGTGTAACACAGAAAATGTCATTTATTTTGCATTTGTCAAAGATCTTTCATTTTGGGGGGTTGGATGAATTGTTTAATATATTAACAGTCACAAAGACCTTACCTCTGAACAGATTTTGTGGGGATGGAAAAGATTCAAATAGAACTTATGGGTGACCCAAAGCCCTCTTTTGCCTCTCTGAGAAATCTGAGGTGGGAGAAGTGGGGTGCCTGGTGCTCCCAGTGTCAAGCCTGGGGTTAATATGGTCTCACTTTCATTCACCCTCCCGGCTGTAAGGACACCTGTGTGAAATGTAAATGTTGTCACCACATGGGGTCCCAGTTGGAGGGGTCCTCCAAGAGATAAAGGAAGTGGGGGAGGGGAGGTCAGTGAGAATCAAAAGGTGAAGCCTGGAAAAGAAAGGGAAAAGTAGCAGCGGAAGCCCCCCGCTGGGGGCCACACTGAGGGGACTAGAGAACAATAGCAGCCTCTGGCCAAAGGCGCCAGAAGGGCTTGTGTGCGCCTTGCGCAGGGTTAAGTCACAATAGCCAGGTCCACCCACCAGCCTCCGGACTGAGGCCACCAGCCAAACCCCCAGGGTTTTCCAGCCACCAGGAAGGCCCCCCAGATTCCACCTGCGCTGGCAGCAATACCCCCGCAGACGGTGATGGGGCACCCCACACCCCAAGACAGGAGGCAGTGGAGAACCCCCAGACCATGATGGGATGCTTCGGGCCCCAAGAGAGGACGCAAGGAGAGACACCCCCACACCATGATGGGGCGCCCCGGAGCCCAAGAGAAGGCGGGGATCCCCAGACCGTAATACGGTGCGCTGAACCCCAAAAAAGGAAGAAAGCAGGGATACCCCTCCCCCCGACTGTGATGTGGCGTCCAGGCCGGAGCCGGGGCGCGGGCCTAGTTCCACCTCCGGCGCCTCACTCACTCCTCGGGGGCACCGCGGCCGGTGGGTCCCCAAATGCCCGCGTTTCCCGGTGGGCCTCCCAGCCCCGGCGAAGGCCCAGGTCAGGACAGTCCAGGTCCAGACGCAGACCCCACCCCAGCCTGCGTACCTGGATGCGCGACGCCTGAGGCTGGAGGCGGCTGCGCGGGGACGCGGGGCGCGGGGACGCGGAGAGCGGGTCCCCGCACTGCAGCGGCACCGCCCTCCGCCCGCCCCCGCCGCGCGCGGCCGGCTGCACCCTGGCACATCGCGGGTGCGTGTCTCCCCACAGACCCGCAATCCCCCCTTACCCTTGGCGGGCTGGGCATTCCCGCCCCCGCCCCGCCCCCTCCCTATCCCGGGACCCTTCCCGGGACTGGCAAGGGATGCACAAGCCTGGACACACAGACCCACAGGACCGCGGGCAACACGGCCAAGCCCGCCCCCACTGCTGTCCGCGTCCCCTGTTCCCCTGTATTCAGACCCTGCAGTTGGCTGCAGCACAGGGGATCCTGGTGATGGCCCGGGCACCCCCACCTGTTGTGTGAGCAGCTATTACCCCGCGGGGGAGGGGTCGGCCTCAGCGACTTCCTAATCCACAATCCCAGGGAGCAGAAAAAGAATTGACCTTAATTTTCTATTGCCCAACATCATGTTTTGCCCCATCTGCCAGGTTGGGGAAGAAACTTGTGTCTTTCCTGAGTGGTCTAAACACCAGGAGGAAGGGTGTGGCGCTCAGGTCGCGGACACAATATCTTGTTTGTATGTGATGCTGAGGATCGAACCTGGGCTGCACGCATGCCAGGCGAGCGCTGCTACCGCTTGAGCCACATCCCCAGCCCCCCCCCCCACCTCATCTGTTTTTCACTCACCTGTCCACCACACTCAGTTGGCAACTCTGAGTTGTCTCATATCACCTGTTGCCCCATTCACCCGGCCTCAGGCCCTCTGCAGAGTCTCCAGCCTTGCTCATACTCCCCAGCAGGACTGGCCTTGGCCCAGCCTCTTTCTGCTAGTGTGAAGTTAAACTGAACAGGCCACAGGCAGGGGGTCAAACAGGAAGCTCCACATCCCCAGCCCTTGCCCTCCAATGTGTCCCCCACACCCTGTTCACATCACAGGCTGACACTCTTGCTATGGACAAAGGCTGTTAAGAATGGGTCTTTCTCAGAATTCATGTCCCCATCTCACCTGAATCAAAACTTGCATCCCACAACCAACTCAAATTGCTGCGGACTAGCAGTGGAGTCCCCCACCCCCTTGCTCCAGTTCCTTCTGGCTCCTCCAGAGTAGCCTGGCAAAAAGAATGAGAAAGAGCAGGTTTCACCTGGCAATGATGGTGGACTGGCTTTGGTGCTCTAGGACTAGTTTTTTCTCTTATAGGACTGCCCCCTACAGGCACCTCCTCATGCTTTGTTCCCTGGGAGGGGAATGTGGAGGACTCTCTCTGGCTGACCTCAAAGGACAGCCCTCCAATCTTGGGGTACCCCCACATGAGTCTTAGTCCTGTGGGGCTGCTTTGTCCCAGCAGAGCCCCCTTGGATCATGTTGCCCCTGGCCCTTTAACAACCTGGCCCCTTGACCTCATTAGGTTGTGGCTTCTCCTGAGCCCATCTCCTCATACCACCATGAGGGCAGCTCCCTCCAGTCTCTCACTTGCGACATTTCCAGGCAATTCAAGTACCTATTTCAGTGCCATGACCCCCCTCCAAGCCCTATCTAGACTCCCTTGCCAGACTTCTGTTGTAGCAGTGCCCCAGCCTACAGACCTCTCCATAACCCATAACCTGAGGCTCTTGCTGCCCTCTGCTGTGCCTGAAGTAAGGCCAGATGGTTTCAAAATGTCCCACTCACTGATGGATCCCCAAGGAGGAAATCAATACTCACAAGCAGAGACAGAAGTTCAAACCAGAATCACCCTAAAAACCATCCCCCAAACTCTTCTCTGGGCTCCCTGTGAATTGATAACCTTTATTGCTAAATTTGGTTGGCTTTTTACTTTGTTGGTTGCAAGTGAAAACATCCAAGTGGATCTTTCCCCAGACCGGATGTGCACAATCCACACACATACACAACCCATGACAATACAAAGGGAGGGGGCTTGGTGAGCCCAGATGAAGTAGGGGAGCTAATTGGGTGACTGGTGGCCAGTGCCTTTAATTGAGGATAATAAGAATGTCCCTCACAGGACATCTTCATGGCTCATCAAACCATGTGGATCATTCACAGTAGGTTGCCACCCTGCTGAACAGTGACAAATTCTGACTTTTTTAAGGACTCCAAATAGCTACATCCTTTTATTAAAAACATGCAACTGGTGATTTCATGACCCTTCAAAAGTCCCAGTAATTTAATTATGCTTACCCAAGAATGTCCCCCCACACACACACACACAGGGGAGTACTTACACTATATGCTTCATAGTATCATCACATTTCCCAGCTCTGTAGGCTCTTACTTCAATCCTAGACCTGACTATAGGATTCATCAAGTGATGAGATGTCTTCATAGTGACCAAGCCCTGCAAAGTCTTACCTCAAAGCCACGTTCTCAAAGCCCAACTGTTACTGATGTTTACCGCTGAGGAGTCCTTCAGGCGGAGGCAAGTGTAGAGTGGAAAGTGGAAGGTTTTATTAAAGGACAGCAGAAAAGACTTCTCCCTGGAGGAAGAAGGGGATCCAAAAGGCAAAATCCATGGAAGGGGAGGTCTTCCCTTTTTTATAGCTAAGGTCTTCGTTTAGTTTTCCCACATTCGTGTCTTTTGTTTCCCTCTATCTTTCAGTGATAGAATGCAGGTGGGAAGGCCAAAAGGTGGCAGATAGGTGGGCTGGAGGAGTAATCTGGGCAGGAAGGGCCTGGGGTGGTTTGATTAGCACCTCCCTGCTTGCTGGGAGCTGTTTCATTAACAGTTTCTTAGGATGCATTGGGGCCTTGGGGACATTAACAGGGGCCTTGGGGACATTAACATTTCAATTTCCCCAAGTGCTGCTCTGGTTTCCTGGACTCCATTCTCGATAATGGTCTCCATTTTCTTTATCTTACTCCATATTAGACCACTAACTACCTATCTGTAAATCTGGCTTCACAACCATCCCCAAACTCTGTGCCAGCTCCTGCTTATTCCCCAAGGTTCAGCTGTTCCTTCTGCAAGGAAATTCCCCCAAGGCACCTGGCACCTCCAGGTGAGGCAGGGAACCCCAAGGGACACACCAAGCTCCCTCACAGGAGCTACTACATTACATGAAAGGCTGCTGGGCTAATTCCTGTCTCCCTCGCTATGCTGAAAGTAGACGTGGAAGATGTTTGTCTTATTTTTTATTCACTCTGCATGGTAAGGGAAAAAAAAAATTTTCCTGGGTGCAAAAGAAAATGGATTCTTTTGGGTTCTGGAGACGTTGCAGAGTTGGTGCTTTGAGACAGGCTCTGTAGGCAGATGTCCAGGGTGCAGATCCCTGTTCCACCCCTGAGCTCAATGCACGTAAGCTCACTGAGCAAAAGGACAGAGATGCTGCAAACTACAATGGCTGACACTTATTGGGCTGAGAATTTTACTGGGAAGAGGCCACTGAATGCTCAAATCAAAGTAGATAATATGAGGGACTAAGGGGAGGAGAGGCTGAGACTAGACAATCATAGTCACCCCCCAACTCATAGTGGTGAAGAGACGATAATTACAGTTGGTCCCTGACTCATGATGATTTGATTTAATGAATTTTCAACTTGATGATATGAAAGTAACATGAATTCAGTAGAAACTGTACTTTGAATTTGATTTTTTTTGTTATTTGCTTTTTGTTTTTTGCATTTTACCACGTTGTGCAGTACAATATTCTTTCACAATGCTGGGCAGCAATCACAGCTCCCATCAGCCACAGGATCATGAAGGTAACTCAACAGTTTGACATGTCACACTGTTTTATTACAGGAATGGAGATCTAAGGCAAGAATATTATGCAGCTGTTAAAAAGGATGACAGCTCTGAATCAATTAATTTTTTAATATTTATTTTTTAGTTGTAGCTGGACACAATACCTTTATTTTATTATTTATATGTGGTGCTGAGGATCGAATCCAGGGCCTCACACATGCTAGGCAAGCACTTTACCACTGAGCCACAAACCCAGCCCTGCATCAATTGATTTTAAATCATCTCCAAGATGTATTATTTTTATCATTTGTATCAGGGGTTGAAACAATGAGTGCCTAAACACTGAGTCAAATCCCCAGCCTGCTGTTTTTTGTTGTTGTTTTGTTTTGTTTTGTTTTTTGGTACTGGAGATTGAACCCAGGGGCTCTTGACCACTGAGCCACATCCCCAGCCCTTTGTTGTATTTTTATTTAGAGACAGGGTCTCACTGAATTACTTAAGGCCTTGCTCAGTTGCTGAGGCTGGCTTTGAACTTGAGATCCTCCTACCTCAGCCTCCTGAGTTGCTGGGATTACAGGATTTTTTTTTTTTTTTTTTAGTTTTAGATGGACAGCATGCCTTTATTTTGTTTCATTTTTGTTTTTAAAATATTTTTTAGTTATAGGTGGACACAAAGTGGTGCTGAGAATCGAACCCAGTGCCTCACACATGCTAGACAAGTGCTCTGCCACTGAGCTACAGCCTCAGCCCCTCCCCAGTTCTTTTTTATTTTGAGACAGTGACTTGCTAAGTTGCTTAGGACCTTGCTAAGTTGCTGAACTTGTGATCCTCCTGCCTCAGCCTCCAGAACCAATAGGATTACAGGCCTGGATTGAGTGAACCACAGCACCCAGCTTCTGAAGTGTATTCTTTTTTTTTTTTTTAAGTTGTAGTTGAATACAAAATCTTTATTTTGTTATTTTATTTATTTTTATGTGTGCCAAGGATTGAACCTAGGGCCTGGCATGTGCTAGGCAAGCGCTCTACCACTGAGGCACCACCCCAAACCTCCAAGGTGTATTCTTAAGTGAAAGTAAAGCATGGCATAAAACTGTGCACTTTGCTACTATTACAGAGGTGAAATCACACATCGTATATGTTTATTCAGGTGTAGAACATCCCTGGAAAAATACTGCAGCAACCAATAACAGAGGTGGCCTCTGGGGTGAGGAACGGTATGTGTCAGGCAGACTCCCCTGGAGAGGGGAGTGACAGACACTAATCCAAGGGTGCATCTGCACAATGGCCCAGCTGCATCGCCAC